ACACAGACCCCGGGCGGGGAGGGGCCAACACGGCTACCCAGCCACCGGCCCCCACCCAGCACAGCTCCCCATTGAGTGCTCAGTGTCCAGGAGAGTGAGGAGGGGCCGGCTGAGCAGCCCCTAGGCCCCAAAAGCTCTGTGTGTCCCCCGAGATGGGGAGTATCCCCCTGGGAAAGGCCCCCTGCTCCGCAGCTTCCCCTGGAGCCAGGGATCCCCCCTCCCTCAGACTGAAATCTCCAGCGGCTGCTGCTCCCCCCAGTGACTCCATCCCCCATGGGAGGTGGGTGGACCCCCCTTTCCAGGAGGCTAGCCCTGCAACTGCCCCCCCCCGCCGCACAAGGCCCCGGTTCTAGTGGCAGGAGCCCTGAGTGCCCCTCACTACCCCCTCCCCATGCCAGAAAACCCCCGGACCAGCCGGAACCCCGAGACAGCCCCCCACCCCTGCCGCCAAAGGACCCCCGGAACAGCCCCAGTCCCTGGTCAGCCACAGTCAGCCAACCAACCTGGGCCCCAGTCATGTGATGCCAGGCAGCCCAGCGGAGCCAGCCGGCCTGGGTGACCCCAGGCCTGTGCTAGGCCAGAGCAGCCCCCAGCCCCAGGCCCCGGCGAGCCCCAGGCCCCGGCCAGCTGGCCAACCACAGCCCAGCGTCCCTCAGCAGTGGCTCCAGCCAGGGAAGGCAGAGCTTTCCCTGGCCTATTGTACCTGCCACCCACGTCATCCCCGGCCGGGCGACCCCTCTGCTGGGCCCAGGGCTTAGGGCAGAGCCTGGCTCTGAGCATCCAGCAGCATGAAGCCCCCCACGAGGGACTGGCTGGGTGTGGGGCTGGGAGCGGGGACACTGAGCCGGGCCCCTCACCTGCTACCACCAGCTGCACGGGGTCGCTGGGCTGCGAGGAGATGAAGGGATATGATTGGTTCCGGTAGCTGCAGCTGTAGCTCCCTCCGTGCTGCCGGCCCACGGTGGGGATGTGGAACTCGGCCCCGTCCCCAGCAGGGTCCATCTGTCGCTGCGGGTTCAGGTCTCCAGCCTTGTGCAGGAAGAAGGTTACATCCCGGTGCTGCCCCTGACACCGGATGGTGACGTCTGCCCCTGGGCCGGTGACCCCAGTGGGGCTCAGAGAGATGGAGGGTCTGGGTAAGCTGGGATCTGCGCACAGGAGACAGGCTGAGAGAGCCAGACCCGGGCACCCACCCAGCCCCGGCCTCCACAGCTAGCCCCAGCCTCCCCCAGCCACAGGCAGATCCAGGGCCCCCCGGGAGATTCACTCCCAGATCCTAGAGTTCCCTCCACCCAGAATTATGGCCCTACGAGCTGGGCTTCCAGCCCCACAGACACCGAGCCCCAGCTCCCTAGTGCTTGGGATCTTCATATGCCCATGTGTGGCCCCTGCCCCATTCACTGCATCCAGTCCCCCGAGCACAGAGCGACTCACGGGCTGGTCTCTGGTGCCCAGCACCGCCAAGCACCAGGCCCCGAGCCACACACAAGAAGGGAGTCAGCCTCCCATCTACATAGTGGGAAACTGAGGCACAGACATATCCACATTCCTCAGTGAGCTCCCAGGGGAAGGGACTGTGTCTTCATCTGTGTTTATGCAGCGCCTGGCACAAAGGGGCCCTGATCATGGCGGGGGCCCTACATGCACCCGCAACACAAGGGATCCAGCACTATTGAGGCCAGCATTTGCAGAGGTCTCCACTAACTGTGGGGATCTCAGCTTGTGGGCGCTCGGCCTGAGAACCCTGAAGACTGAGGGCCCCTCCCCCCTCAATGAAGGAGACTTTTGAAAACCGCAACGTGCTCCCATCACACAGAGTCTGTGGCTGCACCAGGAACTGGGTCAGATCTCGTGGGTCCCAGCCCAGCACTGTGTCCACCAAGCCACCGCTTCTCCTGCAGCCCCTGCCTCATTCAGCCCTGGCCGGGACACTGCCTGGGCCGGGGCCTGGAGAACAGAGGGGAGGGAATCACGGGATTAAATAGCGACTCACGGTTCATACAAACTGGGGACAGCGTTAAAGTCGCCTCCAGGGCTGCTGCTCCCCCCTGGCTGGGGAACCCCCCTGTGAATCCGTCCCCGTTCCCCAGCCGGGCGTCCCCTCTGCGGGGTCAGGGCTCAGGACACAGCCTGGCTCTGAGCGTCCCATTGCCACCGAGCCCCCATGAGGGTCTTGCTGGGTGTGGGGCTGGGAACGGGGACGCTGAGCCGGGCCCCTCACCTCTCACCACCAGCTCCATGGGGTCACTTTGGTACAACACAGCGAATGGCTCTGATCTGGTGTGATAGGAGCAGCTGTATCTCCCACTGGGCAGAGCCTGGCTCTGAGCATCCTAGCAGCATAGAGCCCCACGCGAGGGTCTGGCTGGGTGTGGGGCTGGGAGCGGGGACGTC